AACCTCCAAGGTCCCTTCCAACTTTACTATTATTATTATATGTGCCCTTCAAATGGTTAGTTAGGAGGGCAAATTATGGTCTCTACCCCTCCAAATATTATGTATCTCATGTTCTATTTTATCAAAATTTCAAAGTCTAATCTCATTAAGAATGACATATTTAGTGAAGATAATATTCATTCGATCCATTGTTTTTGTTCTGAAGTCTGATTCTAACCTGATTAATTTGAAAACTATTGCTTTTATTAAAATCTAGTCAACTAGCAAACAAAATATAAAATGTCAAAGAAACAGTAGCTCTACAAAAAATTAGCTGCTGCCCAAAACTATAATTGTATTTATAGTTTAATTTCTGAGCTTGAAGCTGAGATCAAAAATAGCTATTATCATTGTCCGAAAAAAAGCATGGTACCTTTTAATTATCTTTCAATTATGCCACCCATCTCGCCTAGAGGCAACTCTAGGCAACTTACAATCAAAAATATTAAAACAAGGGATATTAACACTAAAATTTAGTTAAGATGATGGAAGGGAAGGGAGCAAGATGCACATAGAAGAGGTGGGGGTTATCTTACTACACCTTTGATTCAAAGGTTGCACTGTGTAGAAATCAAAAGCAGTGGACAATTAATTTGTAAAAGATTAAGATAAATTCATACACTAAATAAAATTTAACATTAGGTCTTTGTTGCCATATAATGCTCACCCTGAATTTTGCAACCATCTGAGAGCCTTAGGCAAAGGTGAATTCCAAATCTTTTATACTTATAATTAAAGACAACAAGCATTGATTTTATATTTTAAAAGAATGATTTAGATTTACCTAGAGCAACCTATTCACTGTACCAGTCCAACAAATAAATAGGAATAGTGAAATAGGCTAGAGCATGCCCATGTTACACCACTTTTATGAAAGCCACACTCATTGCCAGTTTGCTTCCAGGTCCAATTCAAGATGTTGGTTCTTACCTTTAAAGTCCTTCATGGCATGGATCCAGGTTGCCTAAAGCAGGGCTTTTCAACCTTTTCACCCATTGTACCACTTTTAGGATATGACAATATCCGAGTACCACCAGTCGCCTAGCAAGGTGTCAAAAACCTGATGACCAAAAAAAAAAAGGAAAAAAGTGATGAATTATAGGTAGTCCTCGACTTTGCTTAGTGACTGTTCAAAGTTACAATGGCACTGAAAAAAGTGCCCCCCAAGGCATAGCCCCTGCCCACCCAGTGGCGCTCTTCCTCCTGAGGTTTTTATTGTTGTGAGCATTTCTGTTCAGGATTGGCAGCGGGGTGGGGTGGGGGGTGTTTGGTTTTTATTCCCCCCATCTGCTGGGTGCTTGCAGCAGGTTTTGCTCACTTCACATGACCCTGAGACACTGTGACCGTCATAAATATGAATCAGTTGCCAAGCATCTGAATGTAAATCACAAGACCCTGGAGAGGCTGCAACATTCCAGCTGATCGGCGCTTCTTCTGGGCTCAGAAGCGCTAGGATCAGCACTGAGCTCCAGCTGGAGCCTGGCGCTGATCCTGGCACTTCCACTGAGCCCTGACAGTCCCAAAGAAGCGCTGATCCTGGCGCTTCCACTGAGCCCTGACAGCCCTGCAGCTCCAGCCATCTCTCGCTCAGGCTTGTGTGGTGCTGCCACTGGTTCAGCTCATTCCCCTCCCCCACTACCACTTTTCTAGGATGGTCGCGTACCACCTGCCAGGTGCCAATGTACCACAAGTGGTACCCGTACCACTGGTTGAAAAGCCCTGGCCTAAAGAACAGCCTCACTTCAGTGGAATTAGCCTTTCTCCCCCTTGCTGGCAGAAGGGGCATGCTGCAGATCCGATCGGTCAAGGAATTCCAGCTGGTGGGGTCCAGAGTAAGAGCTTTTTCTGTCATGATTCCTACCCTCTGGAACACTGTGCCACCTCCAAAGTGAGATCTGCACCCACCCTTTTAGCCCTTCAAAAGGGCCTGAAGACCTCTGCCAATTGGCTTGGGTCGCTGATGAGAGCATGTTAAATTGAAGATGATTAATGGATTGACATAAGACCTCACCTCCCCCTGCAATCTTCCTTACCCCCTTTGTTAAGTCTTAAGTCAATTTTGGTGCTAATATTTATTAATGTTTTACTGGTTATAAGTTGTTTAGCATCATCTCTAGGTCAAATGGACAGCATATGTTTAATAAGTAAATAAATATACATATTAGAACACAAATATATTATTTAAAAAATAAAAATTCAAATCCTCTTAAGTTTATACAAGATTTTGCACAAATGTAACAAGGCCTCACAATCTATCAAGTCACTGACAAGTAATTTTATTTTTTATTTCAAAAATAATCTGTTCCTAAATTGAAACTAATTTATATTATAACAATAAGAACATGTTATGGAAGAACAACATCACAAATAAAAACAATTTCATTGTTCTTAATTAAAGTATGTACAGTGGATTTGGCAAACTAAACAAATAGCTTACATTCAAGGAAAATGAATGCATAAACCCCATAATAAAATAGTTTTTTTAGCTATATAAATCTCAAGTATGTATTTCATGTTTCTCTTTCTTCAAGCCAAATATGTCAAAGAATGGCAACAGATTCTGTTCATCTGACTACATTGGTTCAAAGCTCCAACTGGTTCAAAATGCAGTGGCCCAAATGGTTTTGTGCAGACACAGGTGTGCACATGTGTTACCTCTCCTACAGAAACTGCACTAGCTGCCAGTTTGCTCCCAGCTGCAATTCAAGATGCAGCTCTACATGGCTTGGCACCAGATTATCCGAAGGACCATCTCTTCTTGATTACATCCACCCACCCAGTAGAGCAGGGAGGCAGATAATGTTGCAAGTCCTGTCTCCTAGGGAGGTACATCTGGCAGGATCCAGAAGGGCCTTCTCCATGGTAGCTTCCTCTCTTTGGAATACCATTCCCACAGAGATTAGACTGGCCCCCGCTTCGACAGTTTTTTGCAAGGCCCTGAAGACCTAGTTCTACCAACAGGCCTGCTGACCCCCAAATGGGATGGAGCCTATCGTGTGGCTAATTTGATTGCTTGTTGTCACCAGGGAGATATTGTTTTGTTCTTTTTATATTGATTTTTGTATTGTTTGTAGGCCACCCAGAATCACTGAATAAATAAACACAAATAATTTAAAGCATCCAAGAAAACGGGAGCCTATTTGGTGTAGTGGTTAAAGCATTAGGCTAGACAATGGGAGATGTTGAGTTCTAGTTCAACTTTAGATACAATGCCAGCTGCATGAACATTCTCAGCCCCAAGAAGGAGAAAATGGCAAACCATTTCACAAAAAACCTTACCAAGAAAACTGCAGGGACCAGTCCAGGCAGTCATCAGGAATCAAGAACTGATTCTTGATTCACACACACATAAACACCAGGGAAAAGTCATCTTTTTATGGGCATGATAGACTTAAACACACTCTTACTCCCTATTTAAAGTATTTTATATATTTTTCTAAGACATCCATAATATGGGTAATCCTCATAACAACAGTAATTGGGACTAGAATTTCCATCATTAACTAATCTCACATGACTACATAAGTTAGCAGCAGCAATCCCAGGAGTCCCCTTGCTGTCATGAACCAAAGATCGTGGGGTTTTAAGCAGGGACTATATGTGACCAAGATTTGTGATATCCACCTGGCTTCCCACAAGTAAAACAAAGTACTACAACATGAGGTTGTGTGAAGATGCTGCAGCAAGAGTGAATGAACTGGGGAGGCTTGCAATGGTGCCATGGTGTGTGGGCTGGAAAAGGGTTGCTGCTATGCTGCATAAATGCAGGCAGGCAGGGGAGAGATGCTACAATACTGTAGGAGTGCAGTTGGGAGGGGAGGAGGTGCTGCAGCCGCACATATATGGCTGGGAGGGAAGGGAATGCTGTGAATCCTCAGGACAAAAAGTGGCAGGAGTGACTTGCAACCTTCCTGCCAATTTCCCCACTTTGCTTGTGGGAAGTTGGAAGAAAAGGTTGCAAATGGCAATCAGATGAGTGCAGGATGCTGCAATTTCCATAAGAGTGAACCAATTGCCGGGTGCCCAGATCACAAATCACGTGACTGTGGGGATGCTGTAATGACTGCAAGTTCAAAGACCAATCCTACAGTACCACTTATTCAATGCCATTGCAGCTTGTAAGCTAGGTGATATGGCTTAGCATTGTATGTGAGCTAAGGAAGTTATATTTTTTTCTACAACCCGTTGCTCAGTAGGATAAATAAAACTATAGCATGGCACGAAACCCAATGTTAACCATGATTCACTGAATATATCACATTTTGCTAAAATTGCGTAACATAGTAAACAATAGTTTGCAAAAAAAAATCATCCACAACATACTGAACTAAAATCAAACAAGCACATTTGATAAAATATGTGAATACAGCTTCTGCTCCTTAATAAAGACAACACCATCTTAAACTTAAACATGTTTTTGTATCCTGAAATTAGAATTTACCTTCTCTAACTATATTTTATGTTACATTTTCCTTCGTTCCTTGTCCTCCCATCACCACCATTTGACTTCTATTAGATTTATGAAAATGTTTCGTGTTGTTTTGTTTTCTTAAATTAGCCTAAGAAGCCTGACCCTCCATGACTCCATGGACCACAGCACGCTAAGCCCCCCCCCATCCTCCACTGTCTCCCAAATCCATGTCCATCAGGTTGATGACAGCATCTAATCATCTCATCCCCTGCTGTCCCCTTCTCCTTTTGCCTTCAATCTATCCCAACATCAGGTCTTTTCTAATGAGCCCTCTCTTCTCACCTGGTGGCCAAAGCATTTGAGCTTCAACTTCATTATCTGTCTTTCCAAACATCAATCAGGGTTGATTTCATTTAAGATTGACTGATTTGATCTCCATGCAGTCTAAGAGACTCTCAAGAGTCTTCTCCAACACTAAAATTCAAAAGCATCAATTCTTCAGCACTCAACTTTCTTTATGATCCAACTCTCACATCTATACATCATCACTGACAAACCATAGTTTTGACCATACAGATCTTTGTCGGCAAGGTGATGTCTCTGCTCTTTAATATGCTGTCTAGGTTAGCCATAGCTTTCCTCCCTAGTAGCAAGCTTACTTTAATTTCATGGCGGCAGTCGCTATCTGCAGTATTCTTGGAGCCCAAGAAAATAAAGCTGTCATTGCTTCCATTTCTTCCCTTTCTGTTTGTTATGAAGTGATGGAATTGGATACCATGATCTTAGTTTTTTAAATATTGTGTTTCAAACCAACTTTTGCACTCTCCTCTTTCACTCTGATCAAGAGGCTCCTTAGCTCCTCTACACTTTCTGCCATTAGAGTGGTATGATCTGAATATCTGAGGTTGTTGATATTTCTCCTGGCAAGCTTGTGATTCATCCAGCCTGGCATTTTGCATAATGTGTTAAGGAAGGTGACAATATATAATCTTGTGGTACTCCTTTTCCTATTTTGAACCAATCAATTGTTCCACGTCTAGTTCTAACTGTTGCTTCTTGACCCACATATAAGTTTCTCAGGAGATGGGTAAGGTACTCCCATCTCTTCAAGAACTTGCCAGTTTGTTGTGATCCACACAATCAAAAGCTTTAGCATAAACAATGGAGCAGAAGTAGATCTATTTTGGAACTCCCTTGCATTCTCCATAATCCATCAAATGTTGGCAGTTTGATCTGTAGTTCCTCTGCTTCTTTGAAATCCAGCTTGCTTATTGTCAATATTGCAAACCAGAAAGGGAACTAGAACTAATTTAAGTTCACAGCTAAAACTTTCCATATCCAGTCCAGAGAAGCTAATTCTGCTTCACGGAGGGGACAGGTATTTTACAGATGCTATTCTTCATGGATGCATCCACAATGTGAAACAGGCTACTCCGCATATTGACCTTCTGTGACCTTCTTAACATTTTTAAGATTTATGCTATAAATGTTATATTGCACCTTTGCTGTAACTTAGTTTTTGTTGATTACTGTATAGCTGCCCTTAACCACGGAGAATCTGGGTAACAATAGATATATATCAAATAAACAGATTTCCGGAGGTTTACATTTTTCATAAACATCTTCTCGCATCCACGTGAACTAACGCGCAAACGCGTTCCTTGTTCCCCCTTTTTTTTCCCGACAAAGACATTCCTGCCTTGCAGAGAGAGATGTCATATGAATTCGCAGTTTCGCAACAATCGAACCCAGACCCTTTAAGGGGAGAAAAGGGGAGGGAAGAAAATTACACGAAAAATCCAACTCTTTTTACCGGGACGGAAAAAGAACACATTTTTTAAAATTTAGTTTGAAGGTTTGTTGCAACCTGCAAATTTGAAGAATTGTTTGGAATATGCCGAAGAGGAAACGGAAGCTACGATCTGTACCTACCTGGTTCCTTTCGGGTCTGAGAGTAAGGAGACAGAGAGGCCTGGGGGTCTGATGCGAAGCTGGTGAGTCCGCGGAGCCCGGACTTGATCTCTCTTAAAGAGACGGTGTGAGACGGAAATCTTCCCACTTACGGCGGCCTTTCCCACCGCAGTAATTGGAAGATTTTTCTTCTTACTTTTTAACTTCCTTCTGTCAGCCGAGATGAAGAACAAATGCAAGGCCCGCGAGGCGGGGGGAGGGGTGGATCTTGTTTTCTGTAAAAGCGATGGGTACTTGCTTTTAAAGACTGAGATATAAGCTTAATACTTTTTGCCCTACCTTTTGTTTTTGCTTCTTATGGAATTGATTCAGATCAGATGTCATAAGCGGGTAGTGGACTGTGAACGATTCTCTCTCTCTCGTTCCTCGTTGACAGTATAATGTTTTAGTTATAGGTATTGTAAAGATTACTAGTAAAATGAAGCAAATGTATTTTGGGTACCTTTAAGTCCTTTTAAAAAACTGAGAGTTACTTGTTTGATCCTATGCCAGCAAGCCAAAGGAACTGGGATACACATGGAGGTTTCAGCTAGTAGCATCTATGAAGAATAAAAACACTGAAGATGAAATGCACTGAAGTCCATCAAATCTTATTTCTGCTACTTACTTTTACTTTTGATGGTATTTTAAACTATAAAATTTATAAAAATATATGACGTATCACCTAAGTTGGCTTGGCTGTGATTTAATGTAGTCTGTGTCTAGATCAGTGGTTCTCAACCTTTTTAATGCCGCGACCCCAACCGGTCGTAAGTCGAGGACTAAACCGGTCGTAAGTCAAGGACTAAACCGGTCGTAAGTCGAGGACTACCCAACCGGTTGTAAGTCGAGGACTTTCCCTGCCTGGGAGCGCCGCGCATGCGTGGTTCCGCCCCCTGTGCCGGCCGAGGCGTAGCTGGCAAGCGGCAGAGACGGAGCAGGCCAACCACCAGCTGGCCCAGCCCAAGGGAGGTAAGGCACCTGCCGGAAAAGGGGAAAAAATGGCGGACAAAAAAATGGCGGACAGCCTTGCTTGGCGACCCCCATGAAATGGTCGATCGACCCCAAATGGGGTCCCAACCCACAGGTTGAGAACCACTGGTCTAGATATTACAATGTGTAAACATAGGTACATTTATTCAGTAGCATATTTTTAAAAAAGGAGGTTTAGTGTATCACATTAATGAAGTTTTTGTGTCATCCAAGTGCATTATGACTTGTGAAATCTAAAAGGCCAGATCCTTGTCATGAGAAGCATGTAAATATCAAAAAAGCAGAGAAGAAAATAAAAAAGCAATGAATAAGCATTTATGCTAGTCTTAAGACTAACCATGGAATTGGAGGGAAATACTATATACCCACATCATGCTGTTTCTTTCAGCCGAAACAGCATTATGCAAAAAGCAGAAAAAATGTTAAAATAATAAACTGAAAATGAAACATTGCTAAAACTAGTTTACATTAACCATCTCCTATTCCACTATGCCAGTATATACAACTTTATGCATAAACTTTTGTTTTTCAAGCTTATCACTTCCCTCTCTTTGAAAATCTTATCAAGTTCAATCACAACTTTCCTGATCTTCCCTTTCCTCATGACATATTCACTCTGCTTCCTTTTCTTTGTGTGTGTATATTGTTATTTTTTTCTAGAGAACCAAACCATCTTATACTCTTTCTACCTGTCATTCACAGCCCTTCATTCAGCACTCATGCATTCCTTATATCAGGGGTCTTCAAACTTGGCCCTTTTATGACTTGTGGATTTTAACTCCCAGAATTCCTCAGCCAGTGTGCCTGCCTGAGGAATTCTGGGACTTGAAGTCCACAAGTTATAAAAGGGCCAAGTTTGAAGACCCCTGTCTTATATTATGTCCTCTTCCTCTAGCACACAGAATTCTTAAGTACCCCACATTTCCACTGTACTTAATTTCTCCTTATATATCTAACTCTCACTTCTGTAAAACAAAAAGAGTAAAAGCACACTCATATACACAACCATAACATGTATTACTCTCCATGTTTCTATATTTTGCACATCTTAAAATTTCTCCCTGCATTTTCCCATCTTTAGAAAATATTGAAAATATACAAATGCATCTAGTTTTTTACCATTTACATATAACTTGCAGTTGTTCACTTCATTTTCCTGGTTAAACACAACATTGTTTTGCCTTTGATAGATTAACTAGACAATCCATGACAGATGACAACGACAAAACTTTTAATAGATTTCTTTCAGTGGAAAAGTTGGAATACATCCAGAGATATATCTGCCATGAAAATAGTCCATGTTGAACTGTATAGCACAGTAAATATTTTATGACACGTTATGTCACATGTTTTATGATAATTTTAATGTCATAAAAGTTTCACAAAATTTGCCAAATTTTAATTCTGTGGGAATCATAGGTTCCACGTTTTGGACATTTTCTGTTATTAGTCCATTTAAAATATCTAGATTCAAAAATTGTTGGCTAAGCTGCACTGTTTTGCCAGTTAAGATAAGAGCAAGAGTTTTAGTAGAATATAGATTTTCATACTTGTGTTCCTTAAATTTTTTTGCTGAAGTTTATAGAAAAGTATATACACATTTGTGCTTATGTTCAATAGAGTTGGTTGGAATTGGGCAGCATCCAAATTAAATAAATAATAAAACTTCTAATATCATCATAAACATTATTATATCCATAAACATATTAAACAAACAAAAAGACATCACAAATCCTTTCTCTCTGTTTAGTGTTGTACAATTTGCTAACCATTTCTGTCACATTCAACCAACCTTCAAATCTATTAATGAAAACTGGACATTATTCCATAATTCAAATGTATTTGCTTTATCATATACTTTTTTTAAAAAATTGCGAGCATATGCTCCTTTCTGACATTGATACCTGCTGTCACCAAATGAATTCTGACAATCTACCCAGGCATACTTATCAAAGTATTAACATTAGATTTCATATTTATTCTTGTTATCATTTCATTCTTCCCATAATCAGGTATTAATGCAATCTTTACACAGTTTCTAAAGAAGTTGGATAATGATAACTGTAAAATACAACAATTGATTTTGCCCCTTTTTGCTACTTGTATATTTTCATATCTCCTTCTCTTGATATATACAAAATGACTAAAAATACCTAATAAAATACTTCTGTGATCCAAATTGGTCATATCACACTAGTAATAAAAATTTGAATTGTAGACTACAAGCAGGACTTGAACATCAATAATATTGTCTCACCATATTAATTTTTATAAGATGTTTCTAATTTTTCTAAGAAATAGGATTTTTGATATATTTCTTTAATAATAACTCTTGGTTGTAAATTATTCATACACTTCAGAGCTCAGGAACTACAAATAAGTTTACCATTGTTTAAAAATATAACTCACTAAGGAGTATTTGTGTCTTTATATATTCTCTTCCATTTGTATGTTTTAACTATAGGAGTTATTAATGAACTGCACTGGACCAGCCAGTATAACAGACCAAGATAGACTTTATTTTACAGCATTTTGTTATTGTTGTTTTTCAGATCTAATTTCCTCTGGTTGAAACTTTTATCTACCAAAATGTCAAGTAAGTTAAGTTGTATTTTGTTCTTAATTTAATCTACATAGAAGTTATTATTTGGTAGGTCAGCATAGGTCAGAGGTATCAGACTGCCGGCCTGCGGGCCGGATGCATCATAGCGAAACTGCGCCCACCCCATTGCCATCAATGGCAAAAAAGTCATGATATGTCGCGACACGTCACTTGACGTTGCAAGTTTGACACCCCTGGCATAGCTTATACCTGTGGACAAACCTGGTTGAGAACAAGCTCCATTTAACACATATGTGTTCAAATATCACAATACACTGTAATGTGGCTTCTTTGGTTTTGTATTAGTAAAGGTAGTTCTTAACAACCATTCATTTAGCGACTATTCAAAGTTAACAACAGCACTGAAAAAAGCAATTTATGACCGTTTTTCACATGACCATTGCAGCATTCCCATGGTCATGTGATAAAAATTCAAACATTTGGCAACTGGTGTATATTTATCATGGTAGCAATGTTCTAGGATCACAAGATTCCCTTCTGACTAGTCAAGTCAATGGGGAAGCCAGATTCATTTAACAACTGCAATGATTTACTTAACTTTGGCAAGAAAGGTCATAAAATGGGGCAAAATTCACTTAACAATTGTATTATTTAACAATGGAATTTTTGGGTTCAATTATGGTTGAAAGTCAAGGACTACCTATATATTGTGGGACATCAAGAATTATATTTTGGGACTATTTTTATTTTTATCGAACTTGTATGCCACCCATCTTGCCAAAGGTAATTAGTATTGAAATTAATTTTATGGACTATTCAGCAAACCAAGTTACAATAAGCCATTGTTTAAGGCTATACAAGTAGTCGTCAACTTACAATAGTTCATTTAGTGACTTTTCAAAGTTACAACTGAACTGAAAAAAATGAATTAGCATTTTTCACACTGATGACCGTTGCAGCATCCCCATGGTCATGTGGTCAAAATTTGGATGCTTGGCAACTGGTTCATATTTATGATAGTTGCTATGTCCCACGCTCATGTGATCACCTTTTGCAACCTTTCACAAGCAAAGTCAATGGGGAAGCCAGGTTTACATAACAACTGGGTTACTAATTTAACAACTGGCAAAAAAAATCACAAAATGGGGCAAAACACACTTAACAAATATCTCACTTAACAACATAAATTTTGGACTCTGTCGTGGTCATAAGTTGAGGACTACTTGTATTTGAACCTATTATTTCTAAATAAGATAAATGTATGTAGTTCAGTCTTATATGTCAGATAACAGAGTTCGCTCTGTAGTTCTCCACATGGATAAGGAAGGTCATAATGCTGGTGGCAAGTTTAGTAACTTTAAAAAAGTACCACAAAATGAGCTGATTAATAACTAAGTAACAGCAATAAATAACTGTTAAGAAGTCAAACGTAAAATAATTATTTCAGTCATTAATTTTCATTTGCTCTATTGTATGCATATTAAAGTCTGGATTCAACCCAATACAATGGGTTGACTCTTGACATTAAAATAGATCTCAGATTTAGTCATCTCTAAACATTGTTACATCCATGCCATCCTTTCTCTGCAATCCCTATATTGTATCAGGATCCCTTTATATGGACCTTGATGTTGACCACCATTGAATTAATACTAGAATACTATGAATACTTTTGCAAAATAAAAGTTCGGGCATTACTTTGGTTGCTGGGGACAGGCACATGCAAAAATCTTTGCACATTGAAATTTTGTTACCTGTTAAATGAAGAATAAGGATAGAGATTTAGAACTATTCTGTCTCATATGCATAGAATGTCCTTTACCAGGCAAAGCAAAATAAATCATACCCCATGTCCAATTACATGAGAAAAGGAACAAGTGGATAAGTCTAGGGTCTAGCTAGGAGACTAATAGGACATAGAATAAGGGTCCTGTATTTTTTTTATATTCTTGAACTTTTTATTTCATTCACTTCTCTTAACTTTCAAGAATTGCATATGAACTTGAAATCCACAGCTTGGGCATTCCTGTAACATGTAAACTATGTTGTAGAGTTGCATAGTTTTTTAAAAAAATTATTCATATTTTGATTTGTTGTTCAAAACTTAATTTGAAGTCCCTGTGTTACAGTACCTCTACATAGTCATTTTCCCCCTTCTTTTTAAAACAGAAAGGCCATCTTATGCTCCACCACCCACCCCAGCCCCCACAACCGTAAGTATGGAAGTTTTTTTTTTTATTTTGCAAACTTTGATCCCTGATTTCATTTTAGCCCCACAGAGACGATGCAAGGGTCAAGTTTTATGTATCCTGTCACCCAGTAAGATTAAACTTTGCCTGAAATCAACACCAAGATGTTTTTGGAATCCTGTCAGTTGCAGGATTTATTTAAAAAATAAAGTTTTGAAGTTTCCATCTGTACAGAATTCAGTCTCTATCTTATGACATCATTCCATTTGATCTGACGATTAAAGTTTAATTTTAGAAATATTTTTATTTTTAGTGTTTACAAAGGTTACACTTTTAATTTAAGTGAATTCAGTATTAATATATCTCTAAAAAAAACTTATATCTAAATATATTGTAAAAGGCTATGGCTACACATCATTAGAAACCAGAAAGCAGATATTGTCTTTATAATATGTTAAGCCAGGCATGTCAAGTTGCCGACCCGCGGGCCGGATGCGTCACACCGAATCTGTGCTCACCCCATTGCCGACAATGGGGAAAAAGTTGTGATACGTCACGCAACATCACGTGATGTCACAAGTTTGACATGCCTGTGCTAAGCAAAAGTATGTGTATTGTTAATAATGGGATTGTTTTTTCTAATATGTTATTTTCATCTTGTATTTATTTTTAAAGGCTGAGAAGTAGAGGCTTTGTAAAGAAAAAAATGTTTTGTAACTATGAGATAAAAGCAAAAAAACCTGTACAAAATGGTATATAAAGTTTTCAGTCCTTAGTGAAATGTGACAGTTCTGTTCTAAATAATATAAGATAAAATTCTTGAGTAAAAATATTGAGATTTGTGGTGTACAGACTGAAGAATAGTTAAAAAAAATAACCTGGAAAATAAAAAGCTACAATTAAATCTAGGCTTAAGAAATCTATTGTTCGTAGCTACCTATGGGATGGAGTAATTGTGAGATACATGTAAATGATGATACATGTTGCAGATTTGATTTTCACCTGTATTTCTAAAGCGGTCTTCTTGAGTATAGATTTATGCATTTGTCACATGATTGTTTTTCTGCATCATTATAGAATGGTTTAAAAAAACTCACTAGAACAGAAGCATATACTTGATAACAGATATTAGGACAAGAATCTTAAATTTGCCCATTTAAAAATATTTCACTTTGTCTTTACCCAAGAAATTTGTTTTTGAAATTAATGAAATTTGAAATATATTGAGATAAGATATATATCACTTCTCCATACTATAGATTATTTTTAAATTGTCAGTGATAATAATATTTTATGCAATGTATTCTTTGTGCTGCTTTGTTAAAACTATAGTTCATCTAAGTACAGGTAGTCCTCAACTCATAACAGTTCATTTAGTGACCATTTGAAGTCACAAAGGCACTGAAAAAAATGACTTATGACCATTTTTCATCCTTACAACTATTGCATCATCCCCATGGTCACCTGATCAAAATTCAGATGCTTGGTATCTGACAGTGGCAATTCACTCATATTTATGACAGTGCCCCAGGGTCATGTGATCCCATTTTGTGACCTTTTACAAGCAAAATCAATGGGGAAGCCAGATTAAGTATACTTAACAACCATGTTACTAATTTAGCAACTGCAGTGATTCACTTAACAACTTTGGCAAGAAAGGTCGTAAAATGGAGCAAAATTCACTTAACAAATGTCTCACTTAGCAACATGAATTTTGGGCTCAATTGTGGTCATGAATTGAGGACTACCTGTATCATTTTACTAGTGCTGCAACCTCAGAAAATTTAGCATCTTGCTAATGGTTTATTATTCAAAATTTTCTATTGCTTGCATGATTTCCATTCTTTGGATCAAGAATAGTGACCCAGTAGTTGAAATATTCTAATGCTGAGGATTCTAATCCTGTAACATTTGCAGACTTTAAGAATATCTCAGAAAAAGATCCCTGTGATCTTCCTCTTTCAATCACTTTCTGCTTGATTTTTTGAGAAGCACCTAGATTGATCTCTTTGATGGTCTTGAATTGTACAGGCACTCATGTAAAAGAGAGATTTTCATTTTATTTATTTTTAATAAGATAATCTGCAGGTCCCATGTGATCTATCTGTCTCCAGAGATAAATTATCATAGAATTATGGAATAGAATTTTTTATTGGCCAAGTGTGATTGGACACAAGGAATTTGTCTCTGGTGCATAAGCACACAGTCTACATATAAACAGCAAATAATAGGTCGTAGATCATAATAAACAACAATTGATAAATCATAAGAAACCAATAGGAGAGATATTATTTAAGAGGTATTAAAATATATAATTATTGCTGCCCCTATTGAATAGCTTAACAAACTAACCCACACAATATTTTTTTCTGGATATAGATCCTATTAGCTTGCTGTCTATTTGAGTTCTTACCATACTACTGTTATAAAAGTAGTAAGTTTTCTTTACAGATTCTTTACAGAATCTTTCCCAGATAAGCTTAACTAAATACTTTAGAGATTTTTACCAGCAAATAAATAAAATTAATTCTCCTTTGCCTTTTGCCTTATTTTGTTGCTCAGCCCAAATATTTTTCTATGCTGTGGGATTTTAATTTGGTTTCCACCCCAAATATAGAGAGACAATTGGAGGAGGAGGAGGAGGAGTTAAGATGGCGGAGAGGCAGCAACCATTGTAAATAGCTCCTCCGGAAAAGTATTTCTTTATCACCATATTTTTATTTCTTATCACTGTTTAATTTTATCATGGTATTTTAAAACTATTGTTTTAAATACCATCTTCCGTTGCCTTATTGGAAGCCTCAGCACTTAGAAAGAGCTGAGAAAGCTCCAGGACATTCCTAACCATCATGGGGAAAAGTAAGAAGAAACGTCCTACACAAGCTGTGTCCAAGCGCAAAAAACAGAAAGCCAAAAAGAAAAGGAAGCCAACTCGGGTAAGTATTCTTACTCCCTCAAACCCCTCCATTGGATATGATGTTTTAGAGTGGGATTTACAAGCAGAGTTCGAAAGTCAACAGCTTAAAGATCTCTCCTCCTCAATGGAAGCGAACTCTCCCCCCTCTGAACACATGCTGCAATCTGCTCTGCAGCTGCAGTTATTACAGGATGAGGATGTGAATATTTACCTGATAAACTTAAATAATAAAAGGGTAATTAACTTTCTAACCAGAGAAAACAGTGCTTTCTGTCTCTGACTTGTTGCCCACAGTTAAAATCAAAGTGGACTCGTTAAAAGACATCTTTGTAAAACAACCCTGCTAAAGCACACATTTTTCAATCTCACTGAAAAGGAGCCAGCAGGGAAAACATGGGCAACCTTACTCCTACACCAAGGAAAAGAAAAAACAACTACCAGAGAGCTGACTACTACTGTGGGAAAGAGTGAGAAAGAAGTCTCCCGTGGGCATGTAACTAAAAGAAAAATTTAAATTGTAATACCACCCACAGCCTAAACAAATCACCTTACAAATATTAAATAATAGAATAAAAAGTTTGATGGGGAACAAAGAGTATTTATCTTATTTTTAAGCCAGTTACATGCTGTGAAAAAATAACTGATTGATTTATAGCAGGCTGAGGGCTTTCCATCTAGCAGAAGCTGAGAGCAAATTTTACTTACTTTTAAGCCGGTCACAATTTCCAATATGTTGTTTAAAATGAGGCCCTTCTTCATACTTTTTCAGTTTTTCTAAAACACGTATTGTGCTCAGAGGAACCTGACCACTCCTGAACCAATCTGTCTGAGGGAGTATTGCCACTTTAAAGAATAAATGCGACAACTCCACTTCAGATAACCTCAAGGACACTTTACCAGCTCTTCCCCCCCCCCTCCCCAAAAGAGATTACTCTGTTCTACCTACAGCAAGACAGTGCGCAGATTATGTTTTGGGGGAAAAAAACTAATTAACTCTTTCACTACTCTGACAAATTCAGAACAAGCTGATATTGAAGACTGGACAATTTGAGAGAACCTCTAGTGGCAACACATAAAATAGCCAGACCTCTAATTGATTTGGTTTGGTCAGTAAATGATCTCTTTATTTGTGATATAAATCATTATCCCTCTCAGCAGTTCCTAGCATTGGTTGAGGGAGACATCATGTTGGTGTGAACATCTATATTTCAACCACTCCAAATGCTAAGATTATGTCAATAGACCTATCTTACAACCTTACACAAACAACTATTCTCAACTTTACTGAAGAGAAATTGCTTCTCATTTTAACTTTACTGAAGAGAAATTGCTTCTCATTTTAACTTCTATATATTTCCCAACATCCCTTGATCATGCATTTTTGAAATTTGGGGAAAAGTGGAAAATTACATTAGGGGTATTCAGTTACACTTTTCCACTGCCCATATCATCATTTCAGGGGACTTCAATGACAGACTAGGCCCAAATGACAATTATTTGTTTGCCAAATTCTCCTAAATTCCACTTAATTTACAGATCACACACACACACACCCGTCTAATTAAAGAATCCAAAAATTACAGCAAAGACTTCAGGGGTTTCCAGATACTGTAGACATTTTATAAGCTGTACCTGCAATTTTGACTACTGGCAGAGCGCTATTACTGACTACTGGCAGAGCGCTTGCATTGGCAGGAACAAGGCCCTCCTTGTTTGATTAAACTGTGACATCAAGAAATTTATCTTCCTCAATTCTCTTATTTCATATTGACAGCTGTCCTGAGTGAATATTGTCCCAGTATGTTGCTTCTAAAGCTCTTCATTACCCTCTTTCTGAATACTTATCCTATTCCGTCCAAAGATATCCCCAAAAGACAAAAGAAATTATTATTTGATCAATCTGATTTTATTTCCTTGATCTCAGTCATGTTCTGGTCTATAGTCTGCACAGTATGCCATAGTATTAACTCTAACCCTTTTAAGATACTTTAAAATAAATATATTTTTCTTTTTATCATAATTGTGTTTTATTTGCAGGTCTATTACTGAATAAAGATTTGACTTGACTTTGTTGCTGTATTTTGTGTTTTAAAAAGGATAATATATG